CCATCGACTTCTGTGCACAAGCTTCCCGGTACCAGGTGTACAAATGCACTCGTCGATGCTAGAAGATGGAGTTCATAATGGACTATCCGTTGTTTGCACAAAACCGCAACAACTTCATGCCGTTATTGTTGACGTCACTAGGGCGATTTTTTTCCAATCACGCCATTCCACTTTTCAGCGTCTACTCCGATATGCCCATTAAAATCTCCCGTGAGTATGAGGGTCTCTGTATTCGGCACTTCAGACAGCACACTGCACTTCCTCAAGGAAGGTCTCATATTTTCTCTCCAAATTGGGCGCATAGACCTGTACCAAGGTCATCAATTTAGCCTGTTGTAACTTCAGTCAGAGGATTACCAACCTTCCTTTGATAGGATTCCAATCGATTATTCTATCGGCAAGGTTGGGTTCTACCAGAACGCCAACACCGGCATGAGCGCCAGTCGTGATACCGACGCCTCAGTAGAACAGCTTCTATCCGTTAAGGTACAGGAGTCCAGAACCATAGCGTTTCGTTGACGTGAGTCCAGCAATGTCCAGTTGGTACTTTATGGCCTCATCAACTAACTCTTGTTCTTTCCCTCTGAGTGAAGATATATTTCCGACTGTAGGCTCCCACTGCCGGTGTTGCTCCCGTGGACCCTGTTCTGATGTGCTACAATGGCGTGTAGCTGTCCACCTCCGTCATTCAGAACGGGTGACGACTCCATTTGCTGGTTGGTATCTTCCTCGTCGTTTCTTCGATCTCCGTCAGCCGTTGTTGCGCTGCTACGTCCCTGAGTGCCTGAAGGCGATGAGTAGGTTTTAATAGCAGCTTGCGTCACCGTCAGTCCCCAATAGCCTGCGCGGAGACGACCAAACCAGTATAATATTCTATGACTCCAATACCATGAAGGGCAGATAGCTTCGTTTTACTGAGATCTGTCCACTCTCTGGATACCTCATACTTTCTTTTTCGGGTTTCATTCCGACAACGAGTGTGTAAGAGTTATCAGTTTTGAAAATGTTGTTTATCTGTTTGCATATTACTTCGTCACCGTGAAATTCATCATGTTTTTTCCATGATACCCACTGAATTTTGAACTGATTAATATGTTTTATGGGCGTATTGGTTTCGCATTTGTCCTTTAGTCATTTATTCAGATGATGAATATCTCCTTTGAACGAAGAGATATCCTTATTTATCTGTTCATTAAATAATCTTAAATGCTAGACTGAAATATTACACTTATTTGCTGATGTCCTCCATTGGCCGTTGTTCTAATATCCGGTTCGTATAGCCCATAATTTCCCATCGTATTTTATGCAATCATTTGACAGCAAAAGATGTATTTGTATTTGGTGTATTTGTACACATTTCTTGCGGGAGGGTCCGTCTCATAGACAAATTAGCTTTATAGGCGTCAAGCTTTTCGTCAGTCCCGATTATAGTCGCCGCGTTTCATATTATTATCATTGCATTGTGAGGAACAGGCGTTTATGAGCTGTATTCAAATGTAATGAATCCGTAAATCTCCCTGCCTAAGTGAGCAAAACTTTCGTAATCATGGTCGTTCAATGCGTTGAGAGTGCAGG